GAGAGAGACATCGATCAGCTGCCTCCTGCACACCCCCAACCGGGGATGTGCCCGCAACCAACGCACACACCCCTGACTGGAACCAAACCCGGGACCCCCCAGACTGCAGGCCAACACTCTATCCATGGAGCCAAACCAGTTTCGGCTATTGATTTTTTTAAATTTTATATGTTAATGATTTTTTACAGAGAGGAATAGAGTTAGAAACATCGATGAGACAGAACCATCGATCAGCTGCCTCTTGCATACCCCCTTTGGGGATGTGCCTGCAACCAAGGTACATGCCCTTGACTGGAATCGAACCCAGGACCTTCAGTCCGCAGGCCGACGCTCTATCCACTAAGCCAAACCGGTCTCGGCTGTTTATTGATTTTAAAGAGAGAGGAAGGGGAAGGGGGAGAGGGAGAAAGGAAGGGTACAGGAGAGAGAGGGAAGAAATACTCATGTGTGAGAGGAACATTGATTGGTTGCCTCCCATAAGGGCCCAGACTGGTAATTGAACCCACAACCTAAGTATGTGTCCTGACCGTGAATCAAACCTGCAACCTTTTGGTGTATGGGAAGACAGTCCAACCACTTAGCCACAATGGCCAAGACAAGACATTCTGTATTTTATGAGTGAGGGCCTAGGACTAGTCCAAAGATATTCATGAATGACTATCCAATTTGGAATCCCAAAATGTAAAAGTTTAATAAATAGCCGAAACCAGTTTGGCTCAGTGGATAGAGCGTCGGCCTGTGGACTGAAGGGCCTCAGGTTCGATTCCGGTCTAGGGCATGTACCTTGGTTGCAGGCACATCTCCAGTAGGAGGTGTGCAGGAAGCAGCTGATCAATATGTCTCTCTCATCGATGTTTCCCATTCTCTCTCCCTCTCCCTTCCTCTCTGTAAAAAAAAAAAAAAAAAAAAAATCAATAAAATATATTTTAAAAAAAGAAATGAAAGCTAATTCGTCCTCAAGTGTGGGGAGAGTTCCCCTACCCCCCCCCCCCCCAACAGGGTAGGGCAATTGCTTCTCCCTGGAGGCTAATGTTATTTTTAATCTCTCTCGTTTTAAAAAAAATATTTTATTGACTTTTTACAGAGAGGAAAAGAGACGGATAAAGAGTTAGAAACATCGATGAGAGAGAATCATCGATCAGCTGCCTCTTTCACACCCCCCACTGGGGATGTGCCCGCAACCAAGGTACATGCCCTTGACCGGAATCGACCCTGGGACCTTTGGGTCCGCAGGCCTAACCAGTTTCGTTATTTTTAATCTCTTAAGTGGCCTCAAGGCAAGGTTTTCCAATAAGGTGAGTCAACTGTCTTCCCTCAGGCAAGACAAATGTCTACGTGGGAAAGATATCCTCTGCTGTATGAGACTCACAGCTCAGGAAACTTGGGGTGTCTGCTTTCTGACCTCTATTCCCTGAGTACCCAGTCCTGGCTTCTGCTCTCATAGATGCAATCCACTTCACCCTCCCTCTGCCAGAGTACAAGATGGGTGGATCCACAGGGAATTTTGTGCATTGGTTCTTTAAGAGGGTGCCTAAATTTTTAGCTGTTTTTCTCTGGCAGACAGCATCCCATTGCTTTTCACAGCTTTTATGTAGGTAACCTCCTTAGTTTTGGTGCTCTCTGCTGGGGGGCCTAGCTTGGAGATTAAAGCACAGAGTTCTCAGTGGCAACCCCCCACAGCTGAGATCTCTCTCCAGGATCTCACTGGCTATGAGTGGGCCAGCCCTTTTGCACCTCTGCCCCTCCTACCAGTCTCTATGTGGTCTCCACTTTCAGTGCTCCGGTATCAGGATTCTCTCCTGAGAGTTTTCTGTTGGATTATTCAGGAAGTTTTTCTGATATTTAGTTGTTATTCCAGTTTTCTCCTGGGAGCATGTCCATGCAGCATCCACTTACTCTGACTAAAAACTTTATACAGTAGGAATATTAGTTTTCGATTTTATGGGTCAGTATTTGTGTCCAAAGATCAATTATAACCCTACTGAAATGTGGGAATTAAACTGAAATGAGTGGTTTTCCTTTGGGCAGGATGCAAAGGTGATTTCCCAGGTCCTTGTCCAGGTGGATTCAAGAATGGGTAGGATGTGATATGCAAAGTCAGGGGAAGAGGCTCCTGGTAGAAAAGAGAGGGAAGAACTTGGCATATGGTCAGCAATGTCCTAAGGCCAGTGTGACCAGAGAATGGCGAAGGCTGCAAAATGTGAGAGGGTGGGGCTTCTTCAAGTGGGGCTATGAAGGCATGGAAAGTCACTAGAACTTTTTAAACAGGGAAATGATATGATCTGACTTGACCCTACAATATGGAAAAGAGACCATAAGTGGATCTGAGTGGAAACAAGGAAAACTGAGGATACTCTTGTGGTAGTCCAGGCAAAAGATCATGGTGGCTGGAATAGGGTGTTAGCAGTGAGAATGAAGAAGAGAAGACAAACAAGAAACATATTTTGGAGACAGAAGTGACAGGACTTACTAAAAGGGTATGGGGTAGTAAAGGAGAAGGACCCAAGAGGATTCTTAAAAGTTCTGGCTTTGGTAACCATGTTGATGACAATACTACTTGAGTGATATAGGGAAGATCAGGTTTGGAATGACAGGAAAACCAAAATTTTCTTTTGTCATGTTAGGTGTGAGATATTTACTGTGACCTTGATAAAAGCAATTTCAACGGAGTGTTCACAAGAGAAACCAGATTGGAATAGGATGAAAATTGAATAAAAGCTGAGAAAGTTGACACAGGAAGAAATCTGGCTATAAAGGGAAATAAAAAAAGTAGGGTAGTAGTTGGAGGTGGATAAGAGGAATACCAGAAAGAACATAATTTGTATGTTGATGAGAACAGGTTTTGACAGAGGTAGGATTTGGTAATTGATTTTATTGGGAATAACAGAGGAAAAATCTAAGGACCATACACCCAGGATTGTGACTATGGTGCCATTATTGAGACCAAGAACATGGGAGCAAGAGCAAATTTATTTGTCTGCAAAGATCATATGCTTCCACAACATTGGTAGGCTTCTTTACTTATCAATGTCTACTGAGGGAGAACTATAAAATGTTACTGAGCCTCACTAGTCTGCACCAGATCCTGATGTGATTAATCTCTTGAGTAGGTTTAAGCTTAGGGAGGAATAATTCTGTGCTATCAGAATCTAACAAGCCAGGTGAACAAACTGAATAAGAATGGGCTTGTATCGGCTGAAGAGACACAAATTATGGAAAAGGGTTCTAAATTCAAGCTGATGGGGAAGCAATCCTACTTTTGTAATCAATATAATGAAGACTTAAAAACTGGTAACTTTCAGATAAACAGTGGAACTAACCCCCCACCTCCCAAGAATTTTAAAAAAATATATATATTTTATTGATTTTTGTACAGAGAGAAAGGGAGAGAGATAGTTCGAAACATCGATGAGGGAGAGTCCATCGATCAGCTGCCTCTTGCACACCCCCTACTGGGGATATGCCCACAACCAAGGTACATGCCCTTGACCGGAATCAAACCCAGGACCCTTCAGTCCCCAAGCCCACACTCTATCCATTGAGCCAAACCGGTCTCGACCCAAGAATTTAATAAAATCCAAATTTGTTTATACTCTGCATGTCTATTAATAGCAGTGGTGTAATTTACTACTCCCTTATTTCTGATATTACAGTGAATTTCCATGGACATATTTTCAGAGACCTTAGGCCTCCCCTTAAAGAAACTAAATATCAGTTCTTGCAACAACCAAAGAAAATGAACTACTTCAGCTAATTCAGGGAAGTGTCTGGAGTAAAAGGCAGAAACTGCAAGAAAATAAAGTTTGTTTTTAACTTAAAAAATGTATTTTTATTGATTTTAGAGAGGGAGAGAGAGGAATAGAGAGAGAAACATCAATGATGAGACAGAATCATCAATCAGCTGACTCCTGCATGCCCCACTCTGGGGGTCAACCACAACCCGGGCATGTGCCCTTGACCAGAATTCCAACGCTCTATCCACTGAGTCAAACCAGCTAGGGCAAGAAAATAAAAGTTTTAACTTAATAGCCCATTCTGATGTTTGTGATAGGCGTTTGTGGATGTAGGTAGCCACTTACAACAAATTCTAACTCTACTATTCAGCACTACGGAAAGAGATGGAATTTGGCAGAAACTCTCTAGGCCTAATGGTCCACAGTTATCACATCCTCAGAACAAACAACTCAACCAACTGATCGTGACTCAGAAGCCCCAGATCCACTCCATTTCCACTCCTTTCGCGTGGCCCAGTTTTCAGAAGCTTCGGCAGAAGGACGGGAACCGAGGAAGCCTGTTGATCCCACAAGCAGCCCAATTCACGGGCTCTGGGTGGCCCAGGGTTGGAAAAGCCTTGAGACTCTGAGCAACTGCCCCGCTTTCCTCCTCCTCCTCTTCCTGCATACGACCGGGAGGGCCAGGGGGCCCCCTTCTTCCTGCATACGACTCCCCAACACCTCTTTCCTTACGGGACCAGGCCCTAAGAGCCTGGCTCCCCACCTGCCCCATGAGAGGAGCACGCTCTCCAGTCCGACCTTCACCTACCTGAAGGACGCCGCTTCTCCGTCGCGCCAAGCCCCCCACCGAGGAAAATGGAGTCGTCAAACCCAGGCTGGGAAAAGAGTGTAGGGACCCACGGCCCGGACCCTCGGCCACCGCCGCCGCCGCCGCCGCCGCCGCCGCTGCCGCTGCTGCGTCAACGTGCTACGTCACTTCCTGCTCCCTGTCACTGGGAGTGGGCGGGCCATTTCTTGCACTTTTCTCCCCCACACCCGGCTCCTCGGGGGTTTGTCCCGGTTCAGGAAGGCAATTTTCAGAACTGAACGAGCCGACTGGAAGCAGCCAGGCCTAGCCGGCTCTTCGGGCCGCTCTGGCCAAAGGAACCGTAGAGACCAAACGAGGACTTCTTCATTTCCTCCTCTCTATGGTTCTGCTTGTCACTTCCGGTTCCGGGGCGGGGCCAAGCTGCTGCTTGAGGTTAGGGACTCTGTGGCAGAGCCAGGATGGCTGTGGTTTCGCTGCTGTTGTTCGGGGGCTTGTGGAGCGCCGTAGGAGCGTCCAATCCGGCTGTGGTCACCTGCGGGTCTGTGGTAAAGCTACTCAATACGCGCCACAACGTGCGACTGCACTCACACGACGTGCGCTACGGGTCAGGTACGGTCCCCGGGTTCGGGTGGGCTAGGAGGGCTTGGTAGGCTCCGGAGGGGGCGGGGCCTGGAGACAGAATCAGGGGTGTGGTCTGGGAAGGTTAGGGGAGCCCTGGGAGGTTCTTGAGGCCTAGAAGCAGGGAGAATTGAATTATAATGCATATATATTTTTTTAACTTAAAACTTTTATTGTTGACACTTGTAGATGTCCCCCATTTTTCCCTCCTTTGCCCACCTCCACCCAGCCCCATCCTCACACTGTCCATGGACTATGCATATATGTCCTTTAGCTAATTCCTTTACCTTTCTTTATCCAGTCCCCCCATCCCCATCCCTTCTGACATTTGTATCCGCGCCTCTGGTTCTATTTTGTTGGTCAGTTAGGTTCCACATTAGCGAGGCCATCAGGTATTTATCTTTCTCTGACTGGATTATTTTGCTTAGCATAGTAATCTCCAGGTCCACCTATGCTGTCCCAAAGGGTAAGAGTTCCTTTTTTATGGCTGTATAATATTCCATTGTGTAAATGAACCACATCTTAAGAAGAAAAGCATGTGTGTATATGTATACATATATTTTAAAAATATATTTTTATTGATTTCAGAGAGGAAGGGAGAGGGAGAGGGAGAGAATCATTGATTGGTTGCCTTCTGCACCTACTGGGGATTGAGCCCCCAACCTGGGCATATGCTCTTTGAATAATTTTTTAAAAATATATAATTTATTGATTTTCTTACAGAGAGGAAAGGAGAGGGATAGAGAGCTAGAAACATTGATGAGAGAAAGACATTGATCAGCTGCCTCCTGCACACCCCCTACTGGGGATGTGCCCTCAACCAAGGTACATGCCCTTGACCTGAGACCCTTCAGTCCCAGGGTGAAGCTCTATCCACTTAGTCAAACTGGCTACAGATATATATATATATATATATATATATATATATATATATATATATATATATATATATATATATATTTTATCAGTTGCCTCCTGCATGCCAATTTTTTTATTTTTATTTTTATTGATTTTGTACAGAGAGGAAGGGGGAGAGATAGAAACATCGATGAGGGGGAGTCATCGATCAGCTGCCTCTTGCACACCCCCTACTGGGGATATGCCCTTGACTGGAATCGAACCCGGGACCCTTCAGTCCCCAAGCCGACTATCTACTGAGCCAAACCAGTTTCGCCATGCCAAATTTTTTAAACTTAAACTATCATATAATACATAGGTAGGTACATTGTTATTAACTTAATTAGGATACTCCTTCAGTTGCACTGTACATGCGTGCCCACACGTGGAAGAGCCACACTCAAGGGGCCAAAGAGCCGCAATTTGCCGACAACTGTTCTAAGGCATCTAATTGATAATACCAGCTTCATTCTGGTGAGCTATGTGCCAGGTACATACATTACATACATACTCTTAGATTTATAACATCCTTTAAAGGTAGGGATTATTGTTATCCTCATTTTACAGATGAGGAAATAGGCTCAGAAATAAATGGCATGCTCAAAGCTTTGCAGCTAATGAAAGACAGAGACAGTTTGATCCAAGTCTGTCTACGTTCAAAGCCTGCTTTCAACTACGCCAGGCTGGCACTAGTCAACTGTGGAAGAGACATACATGCAGAAAAATTACTCTAAGTTCTGTATCTCTGAAGTTTTGAACTCCAAGAACTCACTCTTTGACCTTGACCCTCTGTTCTAGCTCTTTTGCATAGTAATAGTTGTTCTTCAACTCTTTTCCTTTGTTCTCTTTTTATTCAAACTTTTCCCTTGAAAAGAATTTAAACTAAAGCACTCACTGGAATTGGAGAGGAAACTGTTTTGAGGGTTTTTTATCAAATGAAATTAAAATGCTTACTTTGTGTTCATTTATATTTCAGCAATTTGTGGTTTCATTCAGCATAGATTAATGAGCTGCTATTGTGTGCCTATTATTGTTCTAGATACAGGAGATATGGTGCTCAGTCAGCAAGTTCTAAGAAAACAAAAACAGACAAAAAGATAAAAAATTAGTGAACTAGTGAGAGGAAAGCCATTTAAGATGACTGTTTGGTGATGCTAATAGCTAAGAGAGGAAGGAGTTCTTTCATGATTCTCAAAACCTGCTTGACCAGTTAGACTTGGAAAGGAACTGAGTTGTCATTGTTGGGATGTCTTAATAATACTAGCAACCATTCAGTGAACACCTGCTATGTGTCTGCTTTATTATTTTGTTGTTAATCCTCACTCGAGGATATTTTCCCTTTTTTTCTTTTTTTTTAAGAGAGAATGGAGGGGATGGGGAAAGGAGAGAGAGAGAGAGAGAGAGAGAGAGAGAGAGAGAGAGAGAGAGAGAGAGAGAGAGACATTGATGTGAAAGAGACATATTGAAACTGGTTGCTTCCTGATTGGGGCCAGGGATCTAACTCAGGTACATACCCTTGACTGGTATTGAACCCAAGACCCTTCGGTCTGTGGGCCAACACTCTAACCATTTAGCAACACCTACCAGGGCCATTTTATTATTTTTAAATTTGACCTAATTTGCTACTTTGGATCTACTAAATCAGAGTCCTGCCAATGGGAAACCAAGTTTAAAAAGCTCTCTGTGCCGAAACCGGTTTGGCTCAGTGGTAGAGCATCGGTCTGCAGGCTGAAAGATCCCAGGTTCGATTCTGGTCAAAGGCATGTACCTTGGTTGCAGGCACACCGCCAGTAGGAGGTGTGCAAGAGGCAGCTGATCAATGTTTCTCATCAATGTTTCTAACTTTCTGTCCCTCTCCTTTCCTCTCTAAAAAATCAATAAAGTATATTTTAGAAAAAACTCTTTGGATGCTCTTGACATATAGCCACATTTGAGAATCAGAGCTCACAATAAAGATTGTGCTGAGCCTGAGATACCAAGTTAAGGACAGATGGTTCCTGCCTTAAAGCCTTTTTACTTTACCATGGTGTGAAAACAATTTTAATTCTATAGAAAGTTTCCATTGAGGGTAAATTTGGATGTTTGGTATGTGAGGTATTAAATGCATTTTGATTTATGATATTTTTCAGCTTGTGTTGGGTTTATCAGGACTAACCCTGTCATAATTGAGGAGCATCTCTTCACCATCATTGTAGAGGTGATGGTTAAAAGTGTGGGTAGAGTAAATGTGATTGCCCAGGATGAACTGTGGTTCAGGCAGGGCCAAGGGACTGAAGGCAAAAATAGGAGGAATAGGCAAGAATATCTGGGAAATATGGAGGGCCTTTCAAGAATTGTGTAGTGAATGAGGCCAAGAGAAGAGAATATCCCTGTTGTTTATATGCAAGTGGCCTATTTGGGGGAATTTGACAGAAAATAAAAATAAAGCTTTGTCAGAGGCCATGTGGTAGAGGGGTCCAGTTGAACTTACCTCTTTTTTTTTTTTTTTTTTTTTTTTTTTTTTTGGTTGCAGGTAGTGGGCAGCAGTCAGTGACAGGTGTAACTTCTGTGGATGACAGCAACAGTTACTGGAGGATACGTGGGAAGACCTCCACAGTTTGTGAGAGGGGAACACCCATCAAATGTGGCCAGCCCATTCGGCTGACACATGTCAATACTGGCCGAAACCTCCATAGTCACCACTTCACCTCACCTCTTTCTGGAAACCAGGTGAGTGGCATCCTGTGGGTCATTGCTGTTTTGTATTTACTCAGTTGAGTTGTTGGATATCTTCATTCTTAGTCCTTTCTTTTCCAGGTGTAGATGTTCTCTCTTTTTAAAAATAAATGTTTTTTGGTTGATTTCAGAGAGGAAGGGAAAGGGAGAGAGGGATAGAAACATCAGTGATAACAGAGAACCATTGATCAGCTGCCTCCTGCACGTCACCTACTGGGGATAGAGCCCACAACCTGGGCACATGCCCTGACCAGAAATCAAACCATGACCAGGATCCTGGTTCATGGGTTGATGCTCAACCACTGAGCACACCAGCCGGGCAGATGTTCTTTTTTGTACAAACCTGGAGAATTGGCTTTGTCTCATACATGTGAAAGAAATTGTTTCCTGGAGACTTTACATCTAGACCGAATGAGGAGGAAAGACAGACAGAATAGATATATATTAGCTCATGGCTTAAAAAAATGGCATAATACCTAATTCATTTTCTTAACATAATCAGTCAGCATCATTACAATAATAATAATTTTTATTGCAAGTTTGGAAACCAATATGTTTCTTCATTGTAGGAGTTAGATAGCTTTTGGGGATTGTGGGACCCTTTTTTAAAAAATATATATTTTATTGATATTTTATAGAGAGGAAGAGAGAGGGATAGAGAGCTAGAAACATCGATGAGAGAGATACATCGACCAGCTGCCTCCTGCACACCCCCTACGGGGGATGTGCCTGCAATCAATGTACATGCCCTTGACCGGAATCGAACCTGGGACCTTTTAGTCCGCAGGCCGATGAGCCAAAACGGTTTTGGCGGTTGTAGGACCCTTTAAGGACTGCTTCCCACTCTCACTCTGTACATAGTTTTCTCTATTAACTTAGTATGGTAGATTTGCTGGTGATTATCTGGATGACTGGACAGTTAATTGATAATATTGTTACATTGTTATCAACCAAAGTCCATAGGTTATTCCGTTCTCGTTAATTTTTACTGCTATCCTTTCTCTGTTCCAGGATCCCATCCAGGACATCACATTACATTTAGTTGTCACGTCTCCTTAAGCTCCTCTTGGCTGTGACAGTTCTCAGATTCTTCTTGTTTTTGATTACTTTGACAGTTTTGAGGAGTGCTGGCTAGGTATATTATAGGGTACTCCTTTATAAAAATTTGATGTTTTTCTTTTTTCTTTTTTTTTAAAATACATTTTTATTGATTTTTCACAGAGAGGAAGAGAGAGGGATAGAGAGCTAGAAACGTCAATGAGAGAGAATCATTGACCAGCTGCCTCTTGCACACCCCGTACTGGGGATGTGCCCGCAACCAAGGTACATGCCCTTAACCGGAATCGAACCCGGGACCTTTCAGTCCGCAGACTGACGCTCTACCACTGAGCCGAACCGGTGCCGGCGAAATTTGATGTTTTTCTTAAGATTAGACTAGATTTATAAAGGTTTTTCGGAGAAAGATCACAGGTAAAGTGCCATTTTCATCACATCATAATAAGGATATATACTATCTACATAATTTATGACTGTTGATACTGATTACTGAATTAATGTTTGTCAGGTTTCTCCTGTAAAATTATTCTTCCTTTTCCTGCTGTCCATACTGTACTCTAGAAATTAAAGTCTTACACAACCCACACTTAAGAATGGGAAGTTATGCTCTTATGCACTCCTTTTTTTTTTTTTTTTTTTAACTGTAAGAGAAAGCTTATGTAGAAAGTCACAGAGGTAGAAGAAGTGAGCTGTGAAAGAAATGGGCTGAGCCGAAGCCGGTTTGGCTCAGTGGTAGAGTGTCGGTCTGCGGACTAAAAGGTCCCAGGTTCGATTCCGGTCAGAGGCATGTACTTTGGTTGTGCGCACATCCCCGGTGTGGGGTGTGCAGGAGGCAGCTGGTCGATGTTTCTCTCTCATTGACGTTTCTAGCTCTCTATCCCTCTCCCTTCCTCTCTGTAAAAAATCAATAAAAAAAAAAAAAAAGAAGAAAGAAATGGGCTGAGGAAACAAGTTTCCGAGGCAAAAGAAGAGCCCTACAGCTTAGGAGAGAGAAAGGGAAGGGTAACATGCCTGGGGGAAGGACAAGGGAGAGGGAAAGGCACAGGTTTGCTCCCCAGAAAGAGAGCACCTGTGCTTCCCCTCCTTCAGGAAGGAATAGCTACATGATTTATTTGGAATTCTTCTGTTTGGGAGATTTGTCTTTTTTTACTTATTTAATCTTTTGTTTATATCAGTATGGACTTATGGGTGTTTATGTGTATGTACTACTATATCAACTTAGACATAAGTTCTTAATCATGTCTTCAACTCGAATCCATTACCGCATAGATCATTCTAGTCTCCTCCCTTTGTAAAGTCACTCTCTAACGGTGAGATATCTGGCTCCACTGTCATCCATTCACCTACTCATTCACTTTTAGTACACATACATAGTAGAAGAATTGTTCATTTTGTGCATTTCCCTTCGCTTTAGTCTTAGTCTGACTGCTTTTTATCGTTTTACATTATATAGCTATCAGTGTGTATTTAAATTATATATTTCTGAATTAATTTAACTTTTTTATTATGATAAAAACTGAATATTTGGCCCTAAGGGGAATGGGATTAGGAGTAGAAGATAGAATATGCTATAATTTGCTCAATTAATATTTCTTATTTTATTTAATTCTTATAATTATTCTATAAGGTGATATTGTTATCATTTTATAGAAGAGGAATTGCATAGGAAGGGATACAGCTGACATTCAAGGTCTGCTGGTCTCCAGCTTGTTTCTCACCAGGTCATTTAAAATATAGTTAAGGGGATAAGGCAGGAATATATCAAGTCAAATAACAAGAGCTATAAAGTATTTTAAGACTATAATAGAAAATATAAGGCAAATAACGAGTTACTTGTAAAATTAGTGTTTGGATCATAATCTTATGGCAACTGCTTTTGTGTTCTTTATGTCTTATCTTTTTTCCACAGTTTAAATTATTTACTTCTAAACAACCCTGAAAAGCCTCTTATTTTTCACTTTTGGGTAGCCTTATTTTTCTTCCTATTGCCTACCCCCCCTTTTCAAATCTATGTATCAGCCATGCTAACATTGGCACCATCTGTGTCTTCTAGGAAGTGAGTGCTTTTGGTGAAGAAGGTGAAGGTGATTATCTGGATGACTGGACAGTGCTCTGTAACGGGCCCTACTGGGTGAGGGATGATGAGGTGCGGTTCAAGCATTCTTCCACCGAGGTCCTGCTGTCTGTCACTGGAGAACAATATGGCCGGCCCATCAGCGGGCAGAAAGAGGTGCATGGCATGGCTCAGTCAAGCCCGAACAACTACTGGAAAGCCATGGAAGGCATCTTCATGAAACCCAGTGAGTTGTTGAAGGCAGAAGCCCACCACGCGGAGCTCTGAGCCTGGAGGCTGTGAGCCACTGTCACCACACAGTGTTCATAGACATCTGCTGCTGCCTCACCCTGGGACCCTGCCACAGGTCTCCCGGCATTGGCCATGTCACCACTGAGATGAAGATGGTCGGCAGAAAATAGTGACTGTGTTTGGAGGCTTCAGCCTTTTACAGTTGAAATGGTTGTTCTCTCAGACTTGGATCTGTTCTTTTTTGAGTACAAGACTTGTTGGTGAAGGAGCAGGTGTTTTTAATTCCTACTGATAAAACAGAAACCAAGGGAGCCATCCTTCCTAACTGGGAAATTTTTACTCTTCCAAAACTTGGCATTGTGGATTATGATTATGTGTGACTTTCCCCCTGCTTGCTTTCTCCAAAATGATAAAAAAAAAAAAAAAAAAAAAAAATTCATTGTTAGCCACTGTGTTGTCATTTATTAGGTATGCTATTTCATGATCTGATTTATTTTTTAATAGGTCTCTATTTTGAGCAGCAAGTTATTCCATTGCTTTTATTTTTATTTATTTTAAATATATTTTAATTGATTTCAAAGAGGAAAGGAGAGGGAGAGATAGAAACATCAATGATGAGAAAGAATCATTGATTAGCTGCCTCCTGCATGTCCCCTACTGAAGACTGAGCCCAAAACTCAGGCATGTGACCTTGACCAGAATCGAACTTGGGAGCCTTCAGTCTACAGGCTGACAGCTCTATCACTGAGCCAAACCAGCTAGAGCCACTTGTTCTTTTCACTACACTACAATTATGATAGCTCTTGATAGCTAACTACTCTTTTGGGGACAAATGTAGGGATATCTTTCTCTGACAAGGTGGGTAGAAAATTTTTGTCCTCTGCTCATCTCTTTTTCCTTTTCTCTGCTGGTGAATTCCAGAAAGTTTGCTCCTGTCCTTCAAGCATGCAGTGGTAAACGGGGGTTTCTGCCATCTACTGGAATTTTAGTGACTAGCAGGCCTTTTTATTTTTAGAAACTTTCAGATTTTTTTCTCCTTGTTTTGTTAGGGAGTTAAGGTAGAAAACATCTCCAAAAGTCCCTGTTATACACTACTTTCCTTTTACAAAGGCCCACATTAATAAGTGATGACTTTTCATCATTTTGGTTAGTGAAAATAGGTAATAATGGCCCTGCGATGTGATTTGGTCCCCAGTAGGTGACGTGCAGGAGGCAGCTGATCAATGATTCTTCTCGTCATTGATGTTTCTCCCCCTCTTCCTCTTTGAAATCAATTTTAAAAAAATAACTAATGAAAACTTTTTGGAAAGCAGTGGATAGTTTGCACCATACGGTTTATGAAAGGTTTCATAGGTACACTCTACTTTCAGATAGCTGGGGAAACCTCTATAGATCTGTGCTAGACATGGATTTATAAGACATGATTTCTTTGCAAGGACTTGTGTCATTGAGACCATAAACCAGTTGAGCATTATTTACATCCACTCCCCGCTATTCAGATTCAGTTGCATTGATCCCTTAGAGCTCTCCCGAAAGTAGACAAATGATAAAATCAACATTTCAGGCTACTGAGATGATTGGAAGCAGAATGTTAACAGTCTGAGAAGAAAAAGAAATGTTAGACATCAGCTGACTAAAGGAACAGAATGGACAAGATGTATAAGAGTAGGGAGCTGTGTTGCAAAGTACCCCTCTTGGCTTGGACAAAGTTTTCACTGAGTCGTTGGGTCTTCCCTAAAGGTTCACAGACAAAACGTACCCTGATGGGAGGCTGCAGGTTATAAGGAGAATGACAGAACGATAGTCCTTGAGGGATACATATGAACTATAAAGTAATAGCACAGCGGTGGGGCCCTGGGGAAGGTGTGAAATTAGTGAAGAGAGGACTAGATTAGGAAGGATACCAGGTGGAGGGATCAAAGCAACTTTGGGCAACCCGGGTGAAAATTGAAATGGTACTTTATCTGAAGGAATGGAAGAGAGTCTCGAGTAAAATATTGGAGGACATTTATGGAGATTAGTATGTGAGAGCAAAGGTTTGTGAAGTTCTTATTTTAAAATCCCCAGAATTTCTTCAGCTTGTACTGTATTAGCATCACTGTAATAGAGTTGGAAGGGACTTTGTCCAATTCCCTCATTTTATAGATACGGAAACAGACAAAATAAAGTTGACCTGAGGGCAAGAACAATATCCTCTACTTCTGTGGTATCCATCCTCACCCCACTTCCAATGTACCCAGATTGCACTATGCACAGTAGACATTGAAAACTATAGCCCTGGCCGTTTGGGTTCTGGGTCAGGGCACATGCCAGTAATGCTCGTTCAATCACAAGTAGGGGTGTGCAGAAGCTCTATGGATGTTTCACACATCACATGTCAATGTTTCTTTCTCCCTCTCTAAAAATAAAATAAAACCCTCCAACGAAGAGTTCAGAATTGTACTGTCCCCACAGGTCAATACATTTAGGGTGTCCCCAAAAAATATATACACTCTTTAATAGCTGATAAATCACTTAATTTTAACTCCTTTTCAGACTGAACTGATTTGAAATAATGGGTGATGCCAGACTAAGTTTTGAACAAAGAAAATTTATCCTAAAGTGCCATTAGACTTTTTTCTTTCCCCTCCACTTTTTAATTAAGGCATTATATGTGTACATATCTTACCATTGTTATCCCCCCCACCCCCAGCCATTAGACTTCTTTCCATGGAGATACATAAAATATAAAGTTTACCACACAAAACCTGGCAATAGTTGATGACTTGAGGATGCACAAATACCAAAGGAAATGATTCTTTAAAAAATATATTTTTTTGTTGACTTCAGAGAGGAAAGGAGAGGGAGAGAGAGAAACATCAATGAGAGATTGACTGCCTCCTGCATGGATTGACTGCCTCCTGCATGCCCCCTACTGGGGATTGAGCCCACAACCCTGGCATGTGCCCTTGACTGGAATAGAACCTGGGACCCCTCAATCAGCAGGCTGTAGCTCTATCCATTGAGCCAAACTAGGGCAGGAAATGATTCTTGATGTTTGAAATACTATTGCTTTGTGTTATCAGTACCTGGACTGGAACAGTCATCAGTTTGCAAAAAGGCATTGACAAAAAAAAACTATTAATTTCTGAGGGTTCTTTTAAATTTGGAAAATGAACTGTATGTTAATAAACACTGACATTATAATCATTCAAAGTGTGTATACATTTTTTTGAGACATCCTATATTTTACATATAACCCCTCCCCCCCTTGATTTTCAGAGAGAGTGCAAGGGAGAAATATCAAGGAGAAAGACACATTCATTGGTTGCCTCCCGTTGGCCCCCTGACTGGGGCGGGATGGAACCCTAACCCAGGTAGGTGACCTTGACCAGGAATCGAACCGGGACCTTCCTATGAGTGCCCACGCTCCAACCACTGAACCACACCTGCTAGGGCTGGGGACACCCTGAATTAACTGATTAGAGAAGTATTCATACAATGAACGAATTAAAAAGTCATTCCTTAGTGAATTAAACACATTCCTTGGAGGCCTTTTAATTAATTACCTCTTGGTTTTTCTCAATGATTTTCAGACAAGGCTCTTGAATAAGACAGGAGAGCTAACTTCGTCTGACTCAGAGCTGACACTTCTGCAGTGTCCTCGCTCGGTCCAGACCCTAAATGGTCAAGCCAAGTCTGTAACTATCACAAGGAGAGTGCTTTGTAAATGGAATTCTGCCGCCGGCCAGACCCACTGCAAACCGGGGAACCGTTCAGACTCCGACCCCAAGCAAGTCCGCCGCTCCGCATTTCCGGGCACCGAAGGGTGCGTCCGGGGTGGGGCGGGCGTTTGCGTCAGTCCCCACGAGGTCCGTTCCGGCGCTCCCTCTCCTGGCCACGCCTGCACTTCGGGCTTGCAGCCGGTCGGCCCGCCGGGGAGCGCGCACGGGGCGGGGTAACGGGACCGCCGCTGGCTGGCCGGCCGCGAGGGGCGGGGCGCACGCGCGCCAACGCTTCCGGGCGCGCGGCTGGTCGGCCCGCGGCGGAGCTGCGGGAGCTGGAGGCGGGGCCCGGCTGGGCAGGGGGCCGGAGCCAGGCCGGGCCGGGGCCGGGGCCGGGGCCGTAATGCCCCTGTTCTTCGCCGCGCTGTTGGCCTTACTCTTGGTCGCTCTGTTCACCCTCTTCCTAGGCCGGTGAGGGAGGATCCCGGCTTCGGCGGGGCGGGAGCTGGGAGTGGGAGGAAGAGACTTGGGAGGGGGAGACCGAGGGAGGAGAGGGCTAGAGGGGACCCGCCGCGGGCTATGGCGGGCGGCGACGAGGGAGGGGGCGCGGGGTCGGAGCTGGCGAGGAGCCGCTGGGATTGAGGAAGACTAAGGGGATCGGCGAGGCCTGAGGACGTGCGGAGGCTGGGAGCTGAGTCGGGGTGTGAGTGTGAGGAGGGGGGCCGGCTCGTGGTCTCCCTAGACCCCTCCACACGCCCCGGAGCGCCCCTTCCTCCGGACGCAGAGGCACCTGCAGCCTCGCCCCGGGGAGCCAGAACAGGTCTGACCGCCCCGGGAGAGCAGCCTTTGAGCTGGCCGGGAGTGACCCCACAGTGCCTTCTTGCGGACATCTGTCTGCAGGGCGAAGACGGAGACCCTTTGGGGAGTATGTGATGGCACTTCTGACTGGCCTGCCAGTACTTCCTTTGGGTTCCTAAAGATTTGGGGGGTTGCTTTCTTAGTCTCCAACTCAGAAGGTGGAGTTTAATTTGTCTGATCACGTCTGGGGCTACAGTTCTGATCACTGTGGCTCAATGTGCATGATAGAGCAGTGTTCTGGGAGGCTGGAGAGTTGCCCAGAAGACTCGGCTTCAGGATTTGACCCTTTGCAAGGGCTTCTAGGATCAGCGAGGGGTAAGGGACACCATCATTGGGAGAGGGTCCCATGAACTCAGGGATTTCTCTGCAGGTGGCTTGTGGTCCGGTTGGTCACCAAGTGGTGTCAGCGGAGGCTGCAGGCAGAGCTAAAGATTGGCTCCTTTTTTTGGATCCAGAATGTCAGTCTTAAGTTTC